ATACTTTTTACTGCGGGAAAATATCTCATCGCTGAGAAATATAACTATACTAAACGTAAAAACGTAACGGACGAACCCAAGCCAAGTGAGGATGAGTCGTTAGTATATCTATATAACCAATACAAGTTACAAAACCTTATTCTTTAAAATATCAAACCTTGGTTCCTTTATTACTTTATATTCTACATGCGGTTTCAATGCAATTCTGTCCGCGTAGATTATTTATGTATGTACATATAATTACTTCGTACCTAAGAGTTGTAGCGTGATGTTAGATAGCCTTATAACCTTCCACAATATATGGAGTATAAAATGCAAAAAAGTTTTTCCTAATAGTTCCAGAGATAAGTTTTTATATAACAAACACAACAATATAGATTATTTTGTTATGTATACTAAGTATCGCGAATTGTCTACAGAAATAACTCAAACATGCTTTAATTTACATATGTTTTTATGAATATAGAGTCTGTATCAAACATACCAGACGTTATTTATTATTGCACATGGAATTATCAAATCGATTGTGGCGATAAAATTGCGTGGGGGCACTCGCTTCGACAAAACCATATAGTAAAGTGCGTCTCGTGCGTTCGGACGTCTGCCCTTTACGTGTTGACGTCATCTGCACACTGGCCTTATTAACGTAGAGTCACAGCCTAGATCCCATCTTGTTATTCACAGTGAGATAGTGGTGAATGTTTTAAATTAAATTTTGTTATAGGAGTTTATAATCGAACTATAAACTTTTTGTTTAGCCGCGGTTAAATTTATCTACATTTTTTTAAATTTTCGAACGCGCTGTATGCACTGCCAGCTGTTCTGAGTGAAGGTTCAAGCAAAAAGGTTTTGCTCATTTAACGGTATGTATAGGTCGTTTTCAATGTCGATTTGTAGTATGTCAAACTTTTAAGGATAATTTGCGATTAATTTATAAATACTTATGGATTTATATATTTTATATTTAAATTTTCAACTATCTTTAACGTATCAAGGCGATCAACTCCCATTGTTTATTTGTTTATGTGAATTGAAAACAAAAACGTAAATCATATGTTTGTTTTGTTTTCTATTTTCTTCTTTATACATTAATTATTAATTATAATAAATAAATCGGCATAAAACTTGACTCTCTTTTAATAGTTCGATTAAACTTTTTCAACTAATAATAGCTAGATTTATTTAACCTAAATTGGTTTATTGAAAATACTTCGAAGAATTAATTACATAATTTGATTACAGTATTATATTCTTAAAACTGTATGTGTTACATAATTTATAAATAAAAATGACTCAACTTTTTGAATTAATCATTATGCATTCTAAATACATTGAGGAAAACGAAACTTTGCTCAACAACACAATGGACTACCGTATAAAACCATTTGCTTTTAACTTTTGTTTAAACCAATAAAAAAAGAAAAGAACTTTTTTTAATCAATGGTTAAAAAACGAAAATATCGATCAATTTAAACGAAATTTAAATAAATGCATTTACACTTTATCGGTTAGATTACTCACTATGCAAAAAATGCCTCAGTGGAATATTACCACGTTTGTGTCACATACCTAAACGTATACTTTATTATTTTGCATTTAATTATAGTTTATTATTAATACTTTTACTATATAATTTAGATTATGTACAAAAATATATATTTCTCTATGGTTATAGAAAGTAACTTTCTTTTACTACCTGTATTCATAACCGCTTGTCTATTTTTAGCATTTTAGTCGACCCGTTGGTTAGGGATGAGTTGTATTGTATCTGTTGGAGCTCCTTGAAATATTTACATGAATATGGCGGTTATTTTTAGTTGCTACCTGGGCTTTGTTTCACATCTTAAATGGATAAATTAAACATTCATCGAAAGTTCTAGCACGTTTATAGCTTTATAGGTTATATAGGCAGGTTTATAGGTTTATAGTTTGCTCAATTTATTATATAATGTTTTATGGAAAAGATCTTTTTAATCATGTATAATTATTAATTATGCATTAGTCTGTTACATGTTCTTTACTAAAGTGAAAATAGGGATATAAAAAGATCAATATAAAATTATAATACCATTTGTAACGTCGAGATAAGCTTATTTTCTATATATATACTATCTACGTTTAATTTATAACTTAGATATGTCTATATTTAATACTTCTTTAATACTTTATAATTAAAATAAAAGCAACCGTGCCTAGTACAGTCGCCTAGTTTCGTGCCCTTGACTTAAGGTTCATCGCTCTCTTCTTGTGAATTGATCAGCTATCTCTTTCGCACTTGTGTCACTTTACTTAGCAGACGAAGGCACAGACTGTAGTCGTCCTTGTCCTTCAATCGGGCCGTTCCAAATGAATGGCAGTAGAATGTTCTAGTCACGCTTTTTTAATTATTATCATCAACATAAAGTTTCTATGGAAGATGTAAATATTATGGTTTTGTTGTGACCTAAATAATACCAAATCATAGAAATTAAACTACATACTTCAAATATTTTAAATAAAACTATCTTTTAGGCTTTTGTCGCGGATTTAAGTATTTTTCGAATGTTTTACAGCAATCATAGTCACCGGCAAGACTAAGGTTTTAGACGTCTCAAAGGTCATTATATAACAATTAACAAGTGTGTTAAAGACAATGCCTACCCACAAAATTACAAAACGTCGGAAACGATAAATCAAAATAAATCCGCGAAAAAATCCGAAAGGATAGTTTGTTTAAAGCTAGGAAAACAAAAACAAACCTATCCCACGGGAATCGTACATTTTTCCGGGATAAAAGTAGCCTATGTGTTATGCCAAATTTCACTTAGATCCCTTCAGCCGTTCTGGCGTGAAAGTGTAACAAACGTCCACGCATACTCAAAAACTTTCACATTTATCTACGAGTAACATAATATATAAAATATAAAAATATAAAATTTTCATGTCACAGTGTTTGTAACAAAATTCCTCCGAAACGGCTTGACCGATTCTTATGAAATTTTGTGTGTATATTCAGTAGGTCTGAGAATAGGACGTAAACTATTTTTCACACCCCTAAGTGATAAGGATGGTCCACACCAAAAATTTATTTTTATTTTTTGGACATTTTTTTTGATCCGTCCTAAAAATACATAAAAACCTAAATTTTCATTAGGGACGAACTCGAGCGGAACGAGGGTGAGTCACTAGTAATATTATATAATACGGATTTATAGACTTTATTGACTTTATTTTATATCATTTAAGTATTTTATGACTGATAAAATTTTTACAAGGACATAAACTAATTCTGTAATTTCTCACGTTTTAAACACTGCACGATGCATCATACTGTATAATTAATTATACATGTTATTATATATACGGTTCGTACGTATTTATCAATATGAGATATTTTCCTGCAGTAAAAATTATCTTATAAGTATATTGACCCGGGTAAACTGCAGCTATCATCATACGAAACATCAAAATCTGTCCAATAGTTCCTAGACAGACAGACAGACAAAAATTCCAAAATCTATAGATTCGGCAACTGTATCGATGATAATGACTATTTCAATAAGATTTTCCAAAAAAATATTTAATGTACAGTTTCGACTCAGTATTGTATAATATACGTAGTAGATATTATACATATATAGAATAAGCCTATCCTATTAAAAAACCATAGAACACAAATCGAATTAGGCTCACAAGCAGATTTAAAGTCTGACTATAACCAGCTGTTTTGTTACACATGCATGATGCTAAATACCTGCGAGTATGTAATATGTACTATATGCAAATCTTTATCTAATTATCGAGCCATAACCGGTTAAAACTAAATTAAATTACTTATGACTGTTTTTTAAATTCCTACAAACCTGGAGAATGGAGATATATTAAAACATATTTTGTATTTACTTTCAACTTTATATTATGTTAAGGTGAAGTTAAACTATGAGAGCCATTTAACTTATAAACTTTACTATCCATACTTAGTATTATAAATATGAAAGTGTGTTTGATTGTTTGTTTGGTTGTTTGGTTGTTTGTTTGTTTGTTTGTTTGTTTGTTTGTTTGTTAGTTTGTGTGTTTGTTTGTCCTTCTTTCACGTCGAAACAAAGTGACGGATAGGCGTGTTTTTTGTATGAAGATAGTTGGAGGCCCGAAAAGTGACATCGAAGGCTACTTTTTACGCGAGACTATCTAATTCCCACAGGAAAACACGTTATAACATAATCCAAAAAATATTTATGATCAAAATTACTTGAAACTTGGTATTAATGCTCTTCAATGAAATTAAACAAATACGTGTTTTAGCATTTTTCGAAATTCATCTTATAAGGGGGTAGAATATCTAGGGGGTAGATAGCAGTTTGTATGGAACCTACCTTTTTAGAGATTTTTTTGTAGTCTTAGCGCGATCGAAGCTGCGGGTTCTGCTCGTAGTCTATTATTGTATACTATAAAGTGTGAGCCTAATGCCTAAAAAGCTAATGTTATTATTGGGTCCTTAAACTATATTTATTAAAACATCACGATCGGTTGTTCAACAATCAATAAACCAAAAAACACTTTCATGTTTAGAATATTATTAGTGAAGATGACTGAATGTTAATTATTTTTATTTTTGTTTCAGATTTCTTTGCTAACGTTTCTTGAAATGTTGCAAATAGCAAAACTTTAATCTACATGTCAAGAAGGGGTTCTGCACCAAAGAGCACTATAAACGATAATTTAAAAAGTGATTTTTTCAAACGTGTGAAATCGAGGACTAGCCGGTCCTTGATGAACTCCACAAGTTACAATCCTTGCGCTCTCACACTTTGTATATCCAAAAGTCCTTGTCGCTATTCAGCGAGAGACCCAAGATTAAGACATTGGTCGAGAGAACTAATCGTCTCTTCAACGTAGACGATCGTTATTTGGATTTTGAATCCAATTCACACCTTTCTGTGTCAATAGGAAAGATTCAGAAAGAGGAAAGTAGTGATCGAGTACGTACTTAGATTCGTACTTAAAGCGCGTTTCCGAGACTAATGGACACGCCAAATACCTACGGAAATGGCATTCCAGGTAAAGAGAAAGTTTTCAAGTATGATCCAAAAGTACCGTCTGAAGAGGAGAAGACTACGTCTCCACTTCTCATTAAATCTAACGACATTAAATACATTGACTCTGTGAACGATGATAAATATGACTTAAGAGAAGTGGACAAGTCTAAAAACGATCTCAATACCATAAATTCTATGAAAACGGAAGCTAACAATGTAGGAAACAACCACTTGGCGGTTACTTATCAGAAGGACGATAAAAGTGATGAAGACGCAAAATCAAATAATGAAAGAGTAAAGTTCTTGGGATTAGGAGATGCTGATAGTATTTGTTCCAGCAACGGCCCACCAGAACCTACTCCTCAGATACCTGATGGTGGATGGGGTTGGGTGGTCGTTGCTGCCTCATTTCTTATAGCCACAGTCGCAGACGGACTTGCTTTTTCTTATGGCTTGCTACAGATCAAATTTGTAGAGTACTTTGATGCAAGTGAAGCTAAAGCGTCGTTGATTGGAAGTCTGTTTATATCGGTACCTTTAATAGCTGGTCCGATTATGAGTGCGCTTGTAGATAGATATGGATGCAAGAAAATGACAATTGTTGGTGGTATAGTCTCAACTATAGGATTTGTTGCTGCGGCATACAGTAATACTGTAGAGGCCCTGTATGTCACATATGGTATAATTGCTGGTTTAGGCATGGGATTATTGTATGTAACAGCCGTAGTGTCGATTGCTTATTGGTTTGAAAAACGTCGTAACCTAGCCGTTGGCTTGGGATCATGTGGAGTAGGCTTCGGTACTTTTGTTTATTCACCGTTAACAACTTATTTATTAGATGAGTATGGATGGAGAAGTACCCTATTACTCTTAGCCGGTACGGTACTTAATGTTTGTGTATGTGGTGCTGTAATGAGAGATCCAGAATGGCTTATTTTAGAACACAAAAAGCAGAGAAAATTAAGCAAATCAAAAAGAGCCTCAAGTTCCACATCAATATCAGCGAAATCAGGAGGCGGCGAATCTACGTATCCTGATGCTGAAGAGCTTAAAACTATAATTAATAGTGGTGAAACCCCTGAACACGTACTTGCTGCAATTGTAGCAGCTATAGAAGAGGCAGAAAATATAGAAGCAGTAACAAAAATGAATGCAGATTTATCAAGTCAACATAAAGTGAATTCTGTTATCAACCTACCAACGTTTTTAAGACAGCACGAAAAGGTAATCATTGATTGTGATAAAATAGGTTTAATTCATGTTCTTACTATTATAACATTTTTACTACATATGTTTAAATTTTAGGTGCCACCCGAAGTTCTAGAGCAGCTGAAATCAAATGAGCGTCTTTACACTATAATTCTGCAGAATTACCCTTCATTGTTGGCTTTAAGAAGTTCTTCTGAGACAAAATTGCCTACTGGTTCAAATAAAGAGAAACTCAAGAAAAAAGAAAAAAAGGATTTCGACAAGAAACTTGAAAAAGTTAGAGAAAAATTGCTTCAACCGATCCCAGAGAATAATACAGCGGTTATTCCTCCGAGACGTCAAGATTGGTTTTCAAAACAATTTCAAACTGACCATAACTATTTAAAAGATATTCGGGTGCATCGTAACTCTATAATGCACCGAGGTGCTATGATGAATATTGCTAAATATAAATTGCGAGCTTCATCTTGCCCTGATATTTATAAAAATTCTGTGTGGTCAATGGAAGAGCCAGAAGAAAAGGTAATACAATTTATTTGGAACTAGCTACTTACCCTTGGTACGCTCGGGTGCATCGCTAGTTACGTTTTATTTTTTTGAGCGGAACCCTAATTCTTAGTAAGTTTAGGATATTAACCGGAACAAAAATGCAGACAGATAGACGAAAACTTTGAAAATTGGGTTTTCTTATAAATACTTTAAATAGTTTCATATGCATTTAGTAAAAAGCTGTTATATTACTTAACATAAACAGATTTTTTTTTATATTTGTAAAGATAATTATAATCTTCTATACAGATAAATAAAATTGAAGTGTCTGTTTGTAATGTTAAAACAACAGCTTTTTACTAAATGCATATGAAATTATATGCGGTATTTATAAGAACAATACAATTTTTAAAATTTCTGTCTCCCTGTTTGTTTGTTTCGGTTACTCTCTGAAACGGCTGGACTGATTTTGACGGGACTTTCACTGGCAGATAGCTGATGTTCTAAGAAGTAACTTAGGCTACTTTTATTTTAGAAAAAAGATTAGGGTTTCGCTCAAAAAAAAAATATAACTAGGGACGCACCCGATCGAAGCGACGGTAAGTCGCTAATTATGTATGTAAACTTAGGATTATAGGACATTAAAATTGGGGATATAGAATAAATTTAAGTAATTAGTTTTTCACGCACTCGGCGGTAAGAGAAGCGGGAATAAATATGTCGTCGTCGTTGTAAGTCCGTCGTCCGATGAAAATTATGTAGGTATGTCTTTACCAAACGTCTTAGCCCCAGGTTTCGAGGCTTACGTGAAAAGGTAACAAAGAGACAAACTAACAGACTTATTCCCATCTTTAGTTATAATTTTTATTTTAGTAAAGATATAATATGATTGAATTAAATAACATAATATTTCAATTCATAAACAAACAATTATTTATCTTTCAGACATGGGGCAAAAGGTTCCTCAAATTGATCAACAAAACTTTTGACTTCAACATGTTTACGGAATTCCATTTTTTGATGATGAATTTGTCCACTTTGGTGTTATTTGTATGGTTTATAGTACCATATTTCTTCATAGCTACCTTCATGGAAGATAATGGATATACCGAAACTCAAGGATCATTGATGTTGGTTATTTTTGGAATAGCAACCATAATTGGAATTGTAAGTACATACATACATACATACATACATACATACATACATACATACATACATACATAATACATACATATAAGTATTATTACTAGGTTTCGCCCAGTAGTCAAAATTCAACCACATTTTTTATTGATAACACTAAAGCTTGTCAATACTTACTAAACATAAGAAGAAAATCGGTTGACAAACAGAGAAGAAAAAGGTGTTTTGTCTTTGTCTATTTATAAATTACTAGCGACTCATCCTCGCTTCGCTCGGGTTCGTCCCTGGGTACGTTTTAACGGTTAATATGGAATAGGTAGACTACGAGTAGGTATATATTAGTAATATGATGAGTTCTATATCCCTTATTTGAGAAATGATTGATTATCCATAAAAACTTTCATCCCCATTTTCACCCCCTTAAGGGATGATTTTCGGAAAAACTATCCTATATCCTTTCCAGGGTCTCAAACTATCTTTATACCAAATTTCATCTAAATCGGTTGAGCAGATTTTAAGTTTTAATGCACAAACATACAAACGTACAACAAACTTTTTTTTTCTCTGTATAATAGTAGTATAGATATGTCTCTCTAAATGAACATAGAACGTAGGCGGCTATTTAACCTGTCGTTTTGCAACTATGACATGTAATATAATGTATACCTACTAATATTATAAAGAGGCAGACTTTGTTTGTTTATTTGTTTGTTTGAACGCGCTAATCTCAGGAACTACTAATCCGATTTGAAAAATTATTTTTGTATTAGATAGCCCGTTTATTGAGATATTCTATAGGCTAAATATCATCCCGGAAAAATTTACGGTTCCTGAGGGATAGATTTGTTTTTATCTAGGGACGAACCCAAAATGAAGCGAGAGTGAGTCGCTAGTCTATGTTTAAAAGATAAACTATTGCACTTTTATAAAGTAACGTCAGAAGATAAGCTGCGTTTATAGCTTACTGCTCAGTGATAATATTCTATATCAGTTTATTGTTTGTTTTGCCACGTATATCATTAGAAACACATTGGAGAGCGATCTGGTTATCTTATCTATAAGCCTATACTAGTATTTGCTTCTTAAGTCTTTAGTACTAAGCATCACAGACATGTTTCAAGTGTCAAGGATAATTTATTTAACAAATATTTGAGGATTACCACAAAATATTTTTTAATGCTAACGATGAAATGTTATCGATTAAGTGGTAAAAAAACCTATTCATCCTTAAGATCATTTCAATGAGCCTAAACAGTAAACACGACATCTCTAATCTCTGCAGTATTTTAGTAAATAGTCGAGTATTTTACCGATACCAAGTGACGCTGCAGCATCAGGCCTAGTTTACGATACGAGTATGTATGTAATATAATTAATGTAACGGGATAGAAAATTTCGAATCAATTAGATCTGTGGAAGTGGTTCTTATCCTTTTATCCTTTAGAAAAGAGCTGATAGCCCGCAAACGACTGAACGGATTTTTCCTGAGTTATAAGAAAACTCTCGATTAAAATCACTTTCACAAAAAAAAAACAAAACAAACAAAATTTAAATCGGTTCATCCGTTTGAGCATTACGACGTCGCAGGCAGATTCACACGTTATACTTATTCCCCTCTTTTTGTCTAGGAGGTTTAAAATTAAATACATACATATATACATAAAACATCATTTTGCCGCAAATCAGCCGCAAAATTGTACTACGAGTATGACTCGCGATAACGATTCCTGGAAAATTGATAGTAAAAACTATAGTGTATAGAATTAACTTTAAATAAGTTTTACAGAGAGAATTTAATAGACTTTCTGTTTGGTCTCTCCCGTGACCATGATTGCTGTAAAGCATTTGAAACGTCGGGAACTAAAAATCAAAATAAATCCGCGACCAAATACGAAAAGAAAGTTTTATTTAAAATGTCAATATTCGTGTAAATCTAAGAAAGTATTTATTTAATGAGTTTAAATTTTCAGGTTGGCCTCGGCTGGATAGGGGACTTGCCCTGGGTGAACATCACAAAAACTTACGCTGTGTGTTTGGTTTCTTGTGGAATTACAATACTTTTGTATCCAATTTTGATACATATTATGGATTCGAAGGAAAATTACAGCTTTTATATACTAGCCATCAATTCTTTGATATTTGGACTAACATTTTCAAGTTCATATTCCTATACACCAAGTATATTAGTAGAATTGATTGCTTTAGAAAGGTTCACTATGGCGTATGGATTGGTGCTTCTAAGTCAAGGAATCGGTCACTTAATCGGACCACCTATGGCCGGTAAGTCGTGACATTAAATTTTTTGTACATTGTTTATGAAAAAAAAACTTTAAAAATAAAAAAAATATGCGGAAAAATAATAATAATTTAAAAAATAAACATATGTCAGTTATAATAAACCTAATATGTAAGATGCATGCTATGTTAAGTATAAAGGCACCGGAAGCTTACGCTTCGAAAATAATTGGTTGCAGTTTCGCCGCAGTGTTTAATTTCAACATTTATTGACGATCGGCTGTGATTCGATTCGACTGAGTCGTAAAACGTATTTAACACATACTCCATTTATTTTAACAATCTACTCGTGTCCTAATTGCACTAGTTTTAAAACACCGGCCTCGAAATAATTTGTAAATAATGTTAAGGAAAAAATATTACATTGCTCGCCAAATCTATACATATAATCAAATTGTAACTAAGCCGAATCTGTACATTAAATATTTTTTGGAAAATGTTATTGAAATAGACATTATTATCGATACAGGGGCCGAATCTATAGTTTTTAGAATTTTTGTTTGTCTGTCTGTCTGTTACCGCATCACGGAAAAACCACTGGAGGGATTTTGATGAAATTCGGTATGATGGTAGCTGGTTATCCGGGTCAACATATAGGATACTTTTTATCGTGGGAATATATATCTTTTCTGAGAAAAAATACAAAAACTGCATTGTAAGAGTATACTAATATGCAAAAATTAAGAATTTGGTTTTTGGTCATCTGAACGCGGGCGGAGCCGCGGGCAATGCTAGTACTACAAATAATTACGATTGTTTAGTAAAATTTTATTGTAAACAACCTGATTTCGAAAGATTTGTTTTCATTTCAACTTTGTTTCTGTTGTGTATTTTGACTCGGTAATAACTTTGTGTAACCATTCATACAATAAAATACTGTAGTAGCAAGATTGACAACTGACGCAAGGACGAAAATGTTTAATACCGGTACAAATTGTTCTACACTTTTCGACTTGTAATAAATATGTAATAATTAATATATTTTTTTATTTTCATTAATAATTTTCATTGTTTTGACTGATGGTGTAGTGGCTAGCGAGTAGTAACTGATCATGAGGCCCGGAGTTCGAGTCCCGTATCAGGCCAAAATATTTCCTTGGGTATTCTGTCATGAAATACCTATATCTACATTAGCAGTCGAGAATGACCGGTTCGAATCCGTGCTACCGGTATTTAGCATTATATAAATTATAAAAGATACATTAATTGCGTCTGCACAATGCACATACGCTTGTGCACTATAATATTTTCCTAGCTAGTCTCAGTGTGGCCACTCTAACCTAAATCATTATTGACGAAAAAGTATAAAATCTTTTTGTTGTTTCAGGTGCTTTAAAAGATAAAACTGGATACTGGGACGCGGCCTTCTACGTAGCCGGCATATGGGTAATCGTTTCCGGTCTTTTGGTTGCAGTGATACCATATACGAAGAACTTCCGAATAATAGGCAATGCCCCGTTAGCTAAAGACGTTGCGGTGGACCCAGAACCTGGAATGAAAATTATTATAGCTCATTAAAAAAAATACTAACTTGTATTTTTATATATCACACAACTTTCGAATATAGTTAAAATTCAAGAAATGGATAAATCATTACAATTAACATTTTTACGATTTTCTTATTATTAAGTAGTTTTATTTTATTTTTCAATGTGTCACAAGTGTGATTTAGTAATTTAGTCATTGAAAGCTTTTGTTTTTAATTATCCTATGAATATGGACGTAGTGTAACTTATTTGTAGCATTTGTACTTACTATAATAATAAATTGTATTGTTTTCATGTATGGTCTGGATGAATTGAGGTGCAGATAATTTAAAATGAAAGGTGTTTTGTTTTAGCTATTTGTTTAGCTGTTAGTAAAAAAATAATATGTTTTTTAAATTCATCTCATTACTATCAATAGAAAAAAAATGTGATTTTTTTTGGTATGCTTATTTATGTGTTTGACGAGATAGTATGATTTGTATAAGAATTTTCTACATTCACTGAAACCCAAATACCGGCTATAATTTAAAAATATAGTACGATCATTTAACGATCATTTTGTTGTATTTCCTACATTTAAAAAAAAAATACTAATTTTATGTCTATGAATAGTGTGCCCACCTTAAAAAATAAATTTGTCTAGTTAAGTACTTGAATGCCTAATAAAACTGCCGTTTTATTAACTATCGGTTAAGAGTACAAAATATGAAATTCTCTTCATATTTATCAATCTTAAAATATCATTAGATTAAAATAATTTCAAATATTAAAATATTTTGTAATACAATTTAACACTGATAAATTTTATATAATGCGAAATATTTTTAAAGTATTTGTAATATTTAAGATTTCAATCTACTTACTTAGATTGTAGTATACTATTTATCCAAGAATATATTCATTAAAGTTTGATATTGCATATTAAGTTGTTTCTTTTTCCCAGCATATTATGAACTTTTTTTATATCAGATAAAAATATACATTAAATTTACGTTGTTTTATGTATAGTTAACTACTAGTATACCTAATTGTATTATTTATCATACCTATCCTATTAAGATAAAACTTTTTAAGTAAAAATAAAAATAACAATAAAATTAAAGTAAGTAAAAATAACAATAATGGTATATAAATATATAATATTACTAGCGATTCACCCTCGCTCCGCTCGGGTTCGTTGGTTACGTTTTAACGTTTAGTGTAGATTTCTCAGAGATGAGATGTTTTCCCACAGTAAAAAGTATGTAGTATCTAGTAATATGTTGACCCGGATAACCAGCTATCATCTTACCAAATTTCATCAAAATCGGTTCAGTGGTTTTCTCGTGATGCGTTCCCAGACAGACAGACAAAATATCTAACTAAATAACTATAGATTCGGCCTTTTTATCGATAATAATGGCTATTTCTTAAGATTTTCCCAAAAATATTTAATGTACAGATTCGATTTAGAATTTTATGTATGTATAGATTATATTGTAATATTTTTTTGCGAAAGTTGTACCTATTTAACCGCAAAATCTCGTAAAGCCCACCACATACGGTCTACCGTTAAAACCAGCAGTATTAAGTTGCAATAGTTAATTATTGTACCATTTCTGTAATCTTAAAAAAAAAGTACAAAGTATGTAGTCATGAGTCATTTGCGCTTGCTAGCATTGCCCGCGGCTCCGCCAGCGTTCAGATGACCAAAAACTAAATTCTTATGTTTTATATATTAGTATACTCTTACATTGTACTTTTTGTATTTTTTCTCAGAAATGAGACATTTTCTTGCGGTAAAAAGTATCCTATATGTTGACCCGGATAACCAGCTATCACCATACCAAATTTCATCAAAATCCCTCCAGTGGTTTTTCCGTGATGCGGTAACAGACAGACAGACAGACAGACAAAAATTCTAAAAACTATAGATTCGGCCTCTGTATTGATAATAATGTTTATTTCAATAAGATTTTCCAAAAAATATTAAATGTACAGATTCGGCTTAGTTACAATTATATTATATGTATAGATTTAACAAACACAAAAAAATATCATTTACGAAATAAAGTGTGTGTGTAATTATGTACGTACGTAGGATATTATATTTCTTTGCTTTTTTTGAGCATTTAAATAAAAGCTTGTTTTTTTATATGTTTTCTTTTTATTTTATTCGTATTCTTCTCAGAAAACCCTTCCATTTGATATTCAAACACAGACAATACAACCTAGCCTTAGGTTGAATTGTCTTTGTATTCTTAACATGGGAGTGCATAAGTAAAAAAACATATTTTGCCATCTTTGGGAGTCCACCATACTGAATTTACAATGACGTCATTTTGCTAATTCTTTCGCTCATCAAGCCCTTTCATTTGATGCCCATAACATTGATGATAAATCGCCATTTTGTAATATCCACTATATTGGATTAAAAATGGCAGTGCTTAGGCAATCGTGCAATGACTAGAACCAAACGTATGTGTGTAAAACAGCACTGCCAGTTGGCGGGTAATTAAACCGAAAAGCCGATAATTTTAGGCAATTTTTTGCTGGCGGGTAATTTTGTTGGGTATTTGCATTGAACGGGGTAAAGGCGAGTATTTTGGTTTAGCTAAACCAAATTATGATCTATAATACTTTCTTAGATTTACGCGAATATTTGACATTTTAAATAAAACTATCTTTTTGGATTTTGTCGCGGATTTATTTGCATTTTTGTTTCCCGACGTTTCGAATGCTTTACAGCATCCATGGTCACGGGAGAGACTGAGGTGTTACATGTCTTGAAGGTATAGTTGTTACAGACAGCCTACCCACAATTAACAAAATGAAAATTGCACCAATTACATTACAATATTTTTTAACTTTAAACATTTTTATATTTTTTATATTATATAATATTTTTATATTTTTTATAAAAATGTTTAAAGTTAAAAAATATTGTAATGTAATTGGTGCAATTTTCATTTTGTTAATTGTGGGTAGGCTGACTGTAACAACTATACCTTCAAGACATGTAACACCTCAGTCTCTCCCGTGACCATGGATGCTGTAAAGCATTCGAAACGTCGGGAAACAAAAATGCAAATAAATCCGCGACAAAATCCGAAAAGATAGTTTTATTTAAAATTATGATCTTATGACTCTACTGAGTCAAGTAGGTACTAGCGGAAATTGATTAATCTCATATTTTAAGTTTTTTTATTTGACTCAATAATTTAAAGCTGTTTAATTGAGAACTGATTACAATGACTCCTTTCTTTAACATTAGTACTTTCTTTTTATCTATATAAAACATGAATTCATTACCTAAAAAAACGATTTCGAGTATTTTGCTCATGGTTGCCGCCGGCGGGATAAGCCGGGTATTTTTGAGGTTATTAAATCAAGGACTGTTAAGTGGCAGCTCTGGTGTTAAATTTCAGCTCAATCAGACACTGGGAAGTGGGTCAAATTTAACTTGCAATATTTGATTACAGACAGACACCGGTCGGGTAAAAGCTTGTAATAATTTTTGTTTTTCCAATACAAAACACGCGTTGTGTACCTATATAGAAATATCGGAATAAATATCTTGAATTATAATCATTACATTACTAAAAGGAGATTTAACGACTAACTTCATATTGTAATCTAATAACGACTAACATCATACCTACATAATGTAGGTGTAGTCTAAAACTGTCGCATCGTAAAAAAATCAATCTCATCATTTTTTTCTAAAGAAGTAGGGATAATATTTAAATTTTTTGTAGTCGTATTTTTGTATTTTGTTTTGTTTTCTACAAAATAAAATAATAAATACGTACACTTCTTTCGTCTTTGAATCATAAAAGTATGTTAAATCAATAATCAAGTCACGGTGCAGATTAATTACCATTGAAGTTGTACAAACAGTATTTATTAATCATTTATCTAAAATAAAAAAAGAGAATTACTATGGTTTTATTTTCTATTTGACAGTTTGTAAAGATACATTGCTATAAAAGTTCTTTGAGATTATATACCAATAGAGGCAAACACGCAATGTACACCAACATACTGTCAGAATTTTTATCGATTGAAATAATTAGTTGTTTTTCAAAAAGGCAACGTGAAACTGAGAGAAGTTCACTTTTGCTGATTAAAATATATAAATATATTAAATTAACAAATCATTTCAATAATAAGCATTTATTTTTAATAATAGCTATAGGTCTAGTTTTTAAAGTGAAAATAGTAGTTTTAACATTTACGTGATATTATTTTGAACTTCGAAAGTGTTTATTTTATATTTTGTTAACGAACTATGTTAGGCATTATTTACCGTTTTTAAAATAAAAGTAACAGTCCTTTTTCTGATAATGCATAAGTATGTTCCACACTCCTTGATAGAAATGTTAATTATTGAAGAATTGACTGTGTTTATAATATTAAATTTATAATTACAGAATCGTGCATTTGGATTTAAAAGGTGCGCCTTTGAAATCCTCCTACCTGGAAAATGTAAGTATCAAAGTCTTTGTTAAACATAAAAAAATACAATAACGTTAGTAGGTACCTATAATAAATAACCATATTATTTTAGATTTAATATAAATACCAATTTATCAGTATAAATGCTAGCTGCAATAATAGTTAAATATATTAAATATACTTAAATGTTATAGGTGTTTAAGTCAGCTAAAGCATGGGGTGCTACAGGAATCCTTTTAGAATGGGAAGACACATTTCCATACTCAGGACATTTAGTTGACATAGGCAGTGTCAACAACTGCAATGGAGAGAATATGTATTCTGTTGAGGAAGTGAGACATATAATACAATCTATTAAAAATAATGGCCTGGAACCTGTAAGTTGGATTTCTGTCAACTATCAAGTAACATTTTAAATTTGGCATGTGGTTAATTTTTGAACAAAAATTATAAATTTTAGTGTAGTTCTTTATCATCTATATTAAGTATTTCTGTTTACTTTGAATAGTGATATTGCCCAACTATACAATTTCACTACTAACAAAGAAGCTACATTATAAAATATAGTTTAATGTCATCTGAGGACATTTCATCCTCATTCCTCTATTAGTCATTTATACTACTTTCTTAAAAAATGTTATATATAAAATATATTTTACTACTCTAAATTATTTTCTTATATATTGTTAATTGTTATTTTTAGATTCAGTTAATTCAAACAATAGGCCACATGGAGTTTGTTCTGAAACATCCGGCATTCAGAGATTTAAGAGAAGCCCCTCGTACCCCTGCAGTGTTGTGTCCCTCTAAGCCTCAATCTCTGAACTTAGTGAAGGAAATGCTGAAACAAGCATTGGAAATGCAAAGTGACGCCAAATACTTTCATATAGGAGCAGATGAGGTTGGTACTACTTTTTAGTTGTCTTGTTGGTTCCGTAGCTGGCATGTATACCTGCAGTTTTGGGGTTAAGTCCCGGGTTGGGTCAACATTAAGTACTGAGTTTTTCTGCTGTTGTAAGTTGGTGGTGTTACACCAATGTGCTTTCAAGAGCAAGTAAAACCGTCGGTCTTATACATTAACTTTCACCGGTTGTATCAAAGTATCATCCCGTCAAATAGAGGAATAAAACTAGAGTCCACTATAATATCTCCTGCGCAACTGACTAGTCTCATTGAGATTGGCCACTGTGGCCAAAATCTTTTTCGCAATTAGCACAAGATTTTATCTTTTAATATAATAAAAATAATCATATTATTAACTGCCTAGCTTAACTGAACAGATCTTTGAATTTGATTTGGATTGAAATTACACAGAGAGAGTTTATGGACTGGCTTGCTTTTATTTCAGTATATTCAAGTATGTAACAAATCAAATGAAATATTACTTTATTTATAAATCTTGATTTTTGTTGAGAAGACCATGATTTTTTTTTAAATAATAAGGAAATAAAAATAAAAAAATATTTTCTAATGAAATCATTACTTTTTTCAATTCAGTCTTACTGTACTTTGTCGAAAAATATTTTTCGTCTATATGTATATATAATAAAATTCTAACTAAGCCGAATCTGTACATTAAATTTTTTTTTAAATCTTATTAAAATAGTCATTATTATCGATACAGAGGCTGAATCTATAGTTTGTAGAATTTTTGTCTGTCTGTTCTGGGAACGGATCACGAGAAAACCACTAAACACATATTGATGGAATTTGGTATGATGATAGATGATTATCTGGTTCAATATATAGGATACTTTTTACTGTAGGAAAATATCTCATCTCTGAGCTAAATGTTAAAACGTAACTATCTATTGTCGAACCCGCGTGGAGCGAGGTTGAGTTGCTAGTTATATAATAAAAACCTTATTATATAATAATACTTTTTATAATAATTATGTTTATACAGGCTTTACATATTATGTTTTGCAGGTGTGGCATACTGCTGTATGTCCACAATGTCAGAGTCGAGCTGCTTCTAGTGAACACAAGGCGCCGTCTTTATTTTTACAACATATAAGAGATTTAGTGATATTTCTCAAACAGATTAAAGCAGATTTAATTGTTCTTATGTGGGATGATATGTTGAGGTCAATCAGCTTAAACACATTACAGTGTAAGTATATGAATTTTCTAGTAAATGTTATTTTTTAACAAAAAAATCTCTATGTGTGTATGTGTATGTATATAAATATAGGTGTGATGTAGGTGAGGTAAGTTGTTGTGGGTTGTATTATAAAGTGTTTCCATTGGGAATGAGATAATCTCCCATGGTAAAAGGCGCTATGTGACATTATCTAAATAAGAGTAGATAGAAAAAGGCTAATAATAATTAGTTAAAAAAAATGTTTTTTTCTTTTGTAAAAAATTGCTCTTTATCATAAAAGACACTTTAAGTAGATAAACTTAAAAGGTTAAACTTTGAAATTTGATACAAATCGTTAGAACCATTTACAAGGTTGTTATATATATATATATATATATATATATATATATATATATATATATATATATATATATATATACACACACAAAAAATATGGTCATTTTATATAATATATAAGATGTACATTTTACGTCAATAGTATTTAAATGTAATATTAAAGAATCATTTGATATTAATAATCAGATCTATAATTGTAGGTGCAGGTTCGATTTTATATATAACTTTTTTTAAATATATATTTTTTACAGATTATAAAATTGGTGAACTCATACAACCAGTAGTATGGAATTATAATGTTAAAGAACACTTTCAAATAGACCCCCATCTATGGGATGTGTACTCGAAGATATTTCCTAGTGTTTGGGCTGGATCTGCATTTAAAGGGGCCAATGGCAGTTGTCAGGTAACTAAATATAAATTTTATTCTATTTTATTATATATTTTATACAGAAAAAACTAAATGCTGTTCATTGGTAAGCGCTTGAGAATCCATATTAATCTAATATTATAAATGTGAAAGTTTGTGAGTATGGATGTATGTTTGTTACTATTTCACGCCAGAACGGCTGATCCGATCTGGATGAAATTTTTCACAGAGATAGGTTATAGCCTGGAATAACACATAGGCATATTTTATCCCGGAAAAATATACAATTCCCGAGGGATAGATTTGTTTTTGTATAGTCGCTAGTATGAAATATTCGCGTAAATCTAAAAAAGTATTATTTAATTTTATTTTAGGTACTTTCACCAGTAGTAAGATACATCAGCAACCAAGAAGCGTGGGTGAAAGAGATGAAAGATAATTGTCAAAAGGTCAACTTTGCCGGTATCATTTTGACTGGATGGTCGAGGTGAATATATTTTTTTTCTACAATAATATATAAATAATGTCTGCTGCTGGTCCTCAAAACTTAAACGGACACTTGGCCGGTTTTAGATACGATCATTATTCAACGTTATGTGAGTTGCTGCCGGTGTCTCTGCCGAGTTTGTCCAGTTGTTTGAAAACGTGGGGCAATATGGATGAGAATATAGGTATGTATTACCCGTGCAGATAAAGACACGTTTGGCTCAGTTTGTAGTTACCCTACTGGCTGTGCCAGCGGTCGCGTGTTCGAGGAAGGCTGGGGGCATTCATTTGTGTGATGAGCACGAATGTTTGTACTCCATTATATTTATATTTATAATATGTATCTATTTAAAGTTATATATATATGTGTAGTGGATCAACTGCCTGGTATTCATAACACAAGCCTCGTAGCTTACCGTGGAACTAGATGGTGTAGTGTGTTAATGTACAAACATGTAAAAAAATGCAGAATAAAACAAATCAAAGTCAACATAATACAGGTAGACAAATATATTATTTAATGGTAATGGTGGTGGTATTACTCACAATACATGAACAATCGTGCTCGATTGTGTTTTTTTTTTAAATTTTGTCTATAAAGAGGCATAAAAATGTTAGTAAATGTTATAACAGTGCAATGTTTAAAATGAAATAATATTTTAATAATGATAAAAATTGGCCAAGCGTGAGTTGGATTCCGATCGTACCTGTCGTTTTTTTTTATTTTAAATTTATAATTACATTTTGTGTGGACATTCACAGATAATGCGAAAGAAGTGTTGCCGGATGACCAGTGGCCGGGCATCGAACTGGCACTGTGCATGCACTCCTTCGTGATGCTGCGAGAGAGATCCTACAAACTTATATTTGGGGATTTGTGAGTGTTTGATTTTTATTAATCTATATATCTTATATATATACAAATCGATGTTTGTATGTATGTTCCCTATGGACTTCAAAACGGCTGAAGGGATTAAGTTTTCAGACAATCTTTAGATTAGCCCAGCGAGTGTCTTGTGAAGTTTGGTAGCGATCGGAAGTTTGAACGCGGGCGAAGTCACGGGTATTGCTATACTATATTTTATAAAAAAAAGCAAACAGTTGTTTACAACTGTTTGCTTCAAGTAGGCTAAAACTATCAGTTTTATTTAGACAGCATGGCATACGGCATGGTACCTGGGCGACCGATTTTGGCTCTGAGTCTTTTTTCAAAATCATGTTTTTTCACAAAAGATAAAACTTAAAAAGCAAATCCTTATTTAAATACAATATTTGATCCAAATCGTTAGAACCGTTTCCGAGATACACGAAATAAATTTATATACTAGTGACTCACCATCGCTTTGCTCGGGTTCGTCCTTAGTTGGCTTCCCAATACAAACTGTCACCCCCTTAAGGGATGACTTCCGGGGTAAAAAGTATTCGATGTCCTTCCCAGGTTCTCAAACTATCTTCTTACCAAATTTCATATAAATTGGTTTAATAGATCCAGAGATTACCCCCTACAACGTCACAAACGCACAAACTTTACCTCTTTATAATATTAGTATAGACAAGAATTGCTCATTTAATATTATGAAATTAGATACATCATATTTAGCTATGGAATATACTGTGATATTATTTGCAGGGTATCAACATGGCTCAATCCTTGGCAAGTGGAACACAACTACACGAGCCCCGTTCAGGTGGAGGGCGTCACTATGACGTCACACTCGTATGTACATTGTTTTGTATTCAGCCCTTTTTAACGTCCCACGGCTGGGCACGGGCCTCCCTTCAGTACGAGGGGGATCAGGCCATAGTCCACCACGCTGTCCAAGTGCGGGTGGACTGAGCATGTCTTTCGAAAACTTCCTATGTTCTCTCAAACATGCAGGTTTCCTCACGATGTTTTGCTTCTTCGCAAGGCAAATGGTGGTCATGTTGGAAATGATTCGCAATTAAATATATTAGTAACTAGCGACTCACTCTCGCTTCGCTCAGGTTCGTCCCTAGGTACTTTTTAACGGTTTTGTATGGAATCGATAGACTGTATATTATATGATATATAGCCTATAGTCTTCCTCAATAAACGGGTTATCTAATACAAAAAGAATTTTTCAAACCGGATGAGTAGTTCCTGAGATTAGCGAGTTCAAACAAACAAACAAACAAACTCTGCCTCTTTATAATATAAGTATAGAAGTATAGATATACCGGGGTTCGAACCGTTTCACTTGGTTTTCCATCTAACCGCGTTACCACTGAGCTACCACTATCTCTTTCTTTTTTCAGGTTGCAAATAGATTTAAAAGGTCTTCAAGAACAATTGCAAAGGAATTTGGAGAGTGTGACAGGTTCAAGAAGTACAGAAGAGTGGATGGCGTCTTTCTTTAACCCAATTCTAACCAAAATGGCGGAATTACACGAAATAGCATCGAAACGTAGCAACGCTGACGCTAGTGTTAGACCTACTTGAGCGAATAAAGGAACATTGATATATAAAAACATAGATACACATTTGCTAACAAATATCTCATCAAAAAGTGCCGTCGACATGGGAATTTAAGTCAAAACAAAGAATAAAATTCAAAAATTGAAAGTTCTAATTGTCTAAATACAAATTCGAACTTACGCACACCACATAAAGTACATTTTTAAACGAAACAAGGTTATATTATTATAACGTTATAATGATCAGCGTTATAATAATTTTAATATCCTAAAAGCAATGAACAAAAGAGATTTGAACAACTTTGTGCGCTTATTTTTAAGGACACTTGAGACGCTAATTGTGTATCTTGAATTTTTGTATATTAAATATTAATGGGTTCAGAATAAATTTAAAATATCATTTTAATGTTTAAATATATCAAAGAACGAATGTAATAGTAATTAGTAACCATAAAAAAATATGTAACTACATAATTTTAAATGAAAATGTGTGTTAAATTCAAAGTACATAAATAAAATAGACTAAGCAATGGTTATAATGTTGGATTGTAATAAAAATCATAATAATTTGATATGTAGTTTTATTTTCTATAAATGTTAAATTCTTTTTTATTGAGAGAGAGAGAGAGAGAGAGAGAGAGAGAGAGAGAGATTCACCGTCGCTTCGCTCGCTGTGGGATAGATAGACTATATATACATAGGTATGATGAGTTTTATATCCGTTACTTGAGAAATGATTGATTCTCCATACAAACTTCCACCCCCTTTTTCACCTACTTAAGGGATGATTTCCGGGATAAAAAACTATCTTATGTCCTTCCCATGGTCTCAAACTACCTCCATACTAAATTTCGTTTATATCGGTTTAGCGGATTACACGTGAAAAGGTAATAGACAGACAGACTCCTTTATAATATTAATTTAGATATTAGTATGAATATCTTTTGATCAGAATATTACACGACTTAAAAGGGGTATATATTCAAATTGCTGAATAGATTTTGATGAAATTTTGTTACGATGGTCACAAATACAACCATATAGGGATGATAGGTGGAGTCGCGAGCAAAAATTAGAATAAAATCCAAAACTGGACGATACATGTGATTTAAGTAATACATAATTGCAGTGTGTGAATTACATTGTGTTAAACGCCGTGCCTAAATTAAAGTCTTATTACATATTATGCACGGTGTAGGTCACGTTTTGCTATAAATATTTTTTATATCTGACTTACTTATACTTTCAGACAGATGGAAAAAAATCTTTACGGAGTTTTTGCGCGTATTTATTTTGATTTTTATCTGGTTCCCGACGTTTCGAAAGCTTTACAGCGATCATGGTCAAGGGAGAGTCGTGGGACTTAAAGTTTTAGACGTCTCCAAGATATAATTGTTACAAATAGTAACCATAAAAATATTCAAAAAGATAGTTTTATTTAAAATGGTACTTCCACATAAGTACGAGTAGGTTCGAAAAAACAAAGAAACAGACATTGCAGCATTTTAATATTGTTTATATATAAAATATCAAGAAATTTACTTGTTTTTCTTACATTTTTTTGTGTAACACATACTCTTATATGATCTCTTAATACGCGTGACATTCAAGGCCTCTTGACATTTGTGCGAAGATATTTTCTTTGTACCAAACACAAAGGATATTGCAGAAATTATAAGCGTAGATGATATTTTCTTAACAATTTGTTATTCACATTAGAATAAAATCTGTAATCTATACTAATATTATAAAGAGGCAGAGTTTGTTTGGTTGTTTGTTTATTTGTTTGTTTGTTTGTTTGTTTGCTTGTTTCTTTGAACGTAAAACTGATGTTTATTAATATATATTTACTGAGTGCTTTAGCCTTTAAACTACTGAGGCCATTTCGAAAATGCCTTTTGCATAAAGCCAAAGACTTTTTTTTGTAGTTTTGGACCTAGTCGTGAGCGAAGCTGCGGATAATGCTAGTAAATTATATAGATTAAACTAGCATTGCCCGCGACTCCGCCCGCGTTCAGTTGATAAAAAACCAAATTCTTAGGTTTTACATATTAGTATACTCTTAAATCGCAGTTTTTGTATTTTTTCTCAGAAATGAGACATTTTCCCGCAGTAAAAGTATCCTATATATTGACCCGGATAAACAGCTATCACCACACCAAATTTCATCAAAATCCCTCCAGTGATTTTTCTGTGATGCGGTAACAGACAGACAGTCAAAAATTCTAAAAACTATAGATTCGGCCTCTGTACCGATAATAATGTTTATTTCAATAAGATTTTCCAAAAAATATTTAATGTACAGATTCGGTTTAGTTACAATTTTATTATATGTATAGATAACAAATGGTGGATCAAAATTATATGTTTTTTTTGTGCGTTCGTTATGCAATGTCATCGCCATTAACACTATTCATTAAAAAATACCATCAAACTCATTCGACGTCAAACGTATTTGGTAGCTTTTATTAAAATAGAAAAAAAAAACACTTTTAAAGGCGGAATTTTGAAGTGGTTTAGGAGTAGTGTATAAGTTTTTTTTAGAAAGAAAAGTAAAGTTCTAGTTAGGCTCTTGCTAAACTTTTCTTTTCGAACTTTCTGTTATGTTGTTTTTAGTTATATAAATAAAAAAAACTAATAAAAAATCTACATATATTACGAGTATATACTATTATAAAGAGGAAAGTTTTTTTTTTTTTTGTTTGTTTGTTTGTTTGTTTGTTTGTGCCGAATAAGCACCGAAACTACAGAAGATAATTGATACAGAAATTTGGTAAGAAGATAGTTAGAGACCCTGGGAAGGACATTGGATAGTTTTTATCCCGAAAATCATCCTTTATAGGGTTGAAAATGGGACTGAAAGTATGTATGGAGAAGCAACCTAAGGATAGATACGAGCGAAGCGAGGGTGAGTTGCTAGTACTTTATAAACATGTTTAGTTTTTTTACGAAATACAGAATTAGTGGAAATATTTTTTTAATATTTTTAAGAAATGCAAGCAAACGTATGTTAAAACAAGTTTAATATATTAGCAATTTTCTCTATTAACTCTCCACATACTCCAGGCATTAATTTAATTGAATGCATCTCTGGGATACATATAATATAGAAACAGTTCAATTTAGTGGGAAAACTAAATACGTAAATTAATTTAAGCCGAAACTGCGACGTATCCATTTTATAACAAATAGCACAAACATTTGCACTAATTTCATTGATAAATAAAACGGAATGTATTGTGAATACTTGATTAATGTGTTTGTATACTAGAAAAACTAACAATTATAGCGTGTATATAAAATTAATGAAATATATCTACATATAAAATAGTTCGTTTATTGGATAGTTATACTTAAAGGTTTTATACATGAGCCGACCCGGGACTCGAACCCACTAATGAGTTAACTAGTGATACGATCAGCTAAAGACAAAAGTCTTTATCGTGGTGGAATATTATAATTTTGTTTAAATAGAAGAATATTTATTAAAAAATATATATGTCACAAGTAAATAAAGCTACAAAAAATAATGAAATGCTAGATGATGTTACAAATTAAAAATACTTTAATTGTACATCCAATTTGAGATCACTGGTCTGTTAATGAGGTCGGTCCCAGCGTAGTGAATTTTGTAAATGCTGTATTGAAATATCCCCTACCATTGTCTGTTTCGTTAAATTTTAATTCAGTTTTAATATTTACTAACACCGCAATAGGCTATGTTTAGTGAGTTTCACTAGGTTTATTTAGGACAATGTAGCAAGAGTGCTATTTGGTAAAATATCGTTATACTATCACACTAATATGAGTGAGAGTGTATGTTTGTTAATTTTCACGCTACATTGCTCAATGATTTGATTAAAATTTGAAATGAGTTTATATTCTACATTAAAACCTCAGACTAAAAAAATATATAAACGGAGCCCGGCAAAATAATGCCAGTCTTAAATAGTAGCTCGATTTGCTGTTTATGTAGATATTCTCAATTTTGCCATACATATCGTTTTATTTTCGTTAGATTTTAAATTCATTGGTATCAGTCTTTTATATACAATTTTTGAAAATAAAATATGAATAGTAAAAATAATATCATTCTTTTGTATTTTTTAAGCATTAGTTAGTTCTCTTGCCCTTAAAAAAGATATAGCGTAATATTATTATTGCTTATTGAACTTCTTTCTTTACTAAAATAAAATTTCTTAGCTATTTTGATTATTAATATTTATTTACTTAAGTGAGTGATGCTATTAACATTTTTGTATGGAGACTATTTAAAAAAAATGTTGTTTGGCTTCATATTTAGTTGTATGACACTCCTTGGTCTGATATTAAAATATAGGTTGCTTTTTGCAACGTACTCTTGCTTACCGGAAAAAACCATCTATTCTATATTCTACCAGAAGATTTCTTTTGAAATTGATTTTATTATTTATGATGTTAATGCTATTTTTTTATGTTTTATTGTAATTATAATTATTAAATTATAGGAAAAATTATTTTTCCGCAATTACAACAGTAATTTATTTTTAAACTGATTTCCAAGCCGGTGGTGGATTCCTCACGGACTGACTACACTGACATTTAATTTAAATTTAAAACGTAAAATTATAGATTCAAAAGTGCTTGTAAAAGTCTATTTGAATAAAGTAAATATATTTTGATTTGATTTTTACAAAATTAATTATATAATAAAAACAATGCATAAAACTAAAAATCTAAAAAGATGGAAAGAAGTTGACGAAGGAACATAGTGTTATGTAGTCTGACACATGTTTTATTCTTGCTACGAGTCTTGCTACGTGTATTTATGTCTTCGTCTAAATAAATAATATATAAAAAGAAAATGCAACCAGTGGTAGGGGTCTATTTCCCACAAACCACGGTCCGAGCTCAGGCAAGAAGCGAGTTCGTTATCCTGTTTTGATACCGATACATTGAAATCAGCTTTTCGTTTGCAAATATGAAAATATTGTATTTTCTGGAAATTCCATTTATCAAGTCTACACCTGCATAATCTGCAGG